TGTGTGTGTGTGTGTGTGTGTGTGTGTGTGTGTGTGTGTGTGTGTTATTGTGATGTTAAAGGTGCTCTTTATTTCTCTTCTAAAGCTTGTTAAGTTCTGATGAGGAGACGGTCTCCATGGAAACCCCGAGCACCGAACCGGAGCGCGAGGAGCTGCTGCCAGATCATTCTGGAAGTCCAGAAGTGGAAGAGAGCTTCCTGTGATACACTCCTGCTTCCTGTCATCATGAAGTCATTTTAATGTACATTTTGAGCAGATTTTTATCAAATGCATCAGAATGATATGCTAGATTTCCTCATGTGCCCTTAAAGACCGTCTGTGAAGGTTGAGACTTGAACCAGACCAGTTCTTCATTGTTTTTGTATTCTTTCTTACTAAGGTGGAACAATGCAGTATTATAAACTGCAGAAGGCAAAGCTACAATCAGCTGATATGTACATTAGTTGTGTTATGGTTTAAAATCAAACTTCAAACTGTCAATCAGCACACAAATATGATGTGCTATATTGTACTTTCTTGTGTTAAAATCAATCTCAGCATTTTTGAAATGAAGTGCATATTTCATTTCTATATTCAGACAGCTGTCTGTGACTTGATTTTAACTTCAGGCTTGTTTTTGTCAAGATTCTTGTAGCAAACTTGCACTTTAATGTTTATGAGTGATTGGAGCAAATAGATTACACATATTTCATGCAAACATTTAATATACCCAAACACAGTTTGAGAAGGTGTTCATAAAGGCTTAATCTTGACTGCTCGTCTTGTTTATTCTTGATTTTAACTCTAGGCATTCGTATGTATGCACAAGGCCTTATTAAATTGGTCATCTCAGTACATATATCACATAGTAAAGCTACGCACTCTAAGGTACCAAAGCTTTATCTATGTTTACAAGTATATTTTTGTATAGATATTTTGTACATTGCTCTTTTACACTTTCTATGTACGATCAAAAATAAAACTGTGATAAAGTCTTTAATCATCTGTCTGTTGGTCTTTATAATGCTCAGTGGTTGCTCTTTCATGGCTCAGGAGATTTAATGGAGATATTAGTTATGCTCTACAGTATCAACTTTGCCCCAGAAACGACAGACTTTAGCTAAATGTAGCCTTCATTTAGTGTCGTTACTGTCTCTGAGAAACAATTGAGATTAACGAGAGCTGTGTAATTTTCATTTCTCATGGGTTTATCATAACTTTATCATAACAATAAAACTGAAAAATAAATGAGACAGTAAAAATATTGAAAATAAATAAAAACTTCTGACAATGACAAAAGTGCATATCAAAATATATAAATCAAATTAAAGAGAAATCTGAAATATTAATAAAAACTGCAGTATATAAATAATACAAAATAGCACTGCTCAAAATTTCCATTTTGAAAAAAAAAACCTGTCAAATCAATACTGTATTGTTTTCGGCAAATAAATCCTGGTTTGTCTTCAGGATCTGATTTCAGTACATCTCACTGAAGACCTTTGAGATGTCAGTTTAATGGAGTATACTGGAAATCATGTATTTCCTTTTGCAGACAAAAAGCAACAGAAAAAGCCTTAAAGTGAACAAAACTGATTACATGTAAATACAGCCGGAGTCTTTCTTCATGTGATATTAAAAGAAGCTGTTGATGGCCTGTTGTTCAGATGTAAACACTGGTCATGGGGCTGAATGAACACTGGAGCGTTTTGTTCAGGAGGTCGTGGAGAGACTCCTGCAGTCTCAGTGATCAGGCTTCACATTCGTTTCACTTGAGTACCGCGGTGTAGATGGAAAACCAGTGTGAGGCCTGTTCAACCTCAGATTGAGCTTCAGATCAGAGATCATCGACACACAGCAGGAGCTTTGATTAAGATCTTCTCATCTCAATCTAGGAGATTCACTGACACTCAGGTAAACCTTTTGTTTCTGATAAAAATGATCAAATTTAAGTGTGTTTATGGTTATGACAAGAACAAATATGTGTCCATGGGTTAAGAAAAATAATCCTTTTGATTTTTCTTACCCCATGTTTCTTGTTTAAGCATAAACTGAATTTTAAACGGAAACTAAAGCTATTAAAACATTTTTGTTCATTGAAACAAAGCTTAAAATATAAATATAAGATGAAAAAACTTTAAACTAAAAATGTTTCAAATAAATGAAATGAAGCTCATATTAAAACTAAAATTACTAACTGGAAATAAATAAAACCTAAATACAAAAACTGAAATAAATGTTCCTGGAATATATACAGTGGGTACGGAAAGTATTCAGACCCCCTTAAATTTTTCACTCTTTGTTATATTGCAGCCATTTGCTAAAATCATTTAAGTTATTTTTTTTCCTCATTAATGTACACACAGCACCCCATATTGACAGAAAAACACAGAATTGTTGACATTTTTGCAGATTTATTAAAAAAGAAAAACTGAAATATCACATGGTCCTAAGTATTCAGACCCTTTGCTCAGTATTTAGTAGAAGCACCCTTTTGATCGAATACAGCCATGAGTCTTTTTGGGAAAGAGGCAACAAGTTTTTCACACCTGGATTTGAGGATCCTCTGCCATTCCTCCTTGCAGAGCCTCTCCAGTTCTGTCAGGTTGGATAGTAAACGTTGTCTTTTCCAGTACAAATATCTAAAAATCAAGATACTTTCACTTGAGAAAGAACTATATACAGTGCGTGCATAAGTATTAGGCACAATGATATTCAGATTTCACTGTCCAAAGGTCATGCCTTAACTTTGCAAATTCTAGTACTGCATTAGCATTGCATCCTTCTCATGGGCATTTAATAATTTCTGACTTTTAGTCACTTTTTTAATCACTTTTTTGCCTCATTTTAAGAAAACCTTTAAGAAAAGCAGCCTTCATGGACAATAATATATCACTTATAAATGATCAAATATAAAATTCATAGTAGTTATTAAGATTGATGTGGTTTGGAATTGGTAAAATGTTTGGGGAAAAATATTCAATTCAATCAAAATGTATTTGTATAGCGCTTTTTACAATACACATTTCAAAACAGCTTTACAGAAAATGCATGTGTCTACATTACAAAGCAGAAGTGAATGTGTCCAAGTAATGTTCATTTCACAAATGAACAGTTCAAGATAATAGAATCATACAGTTAGCTAACATGAATTAATTTTAGGCAGAAGCTCTTTAAAGCGATTATTACAAGTGTGATCATAATGATTACAATATAGAGAAAATTTGTCAGCTGTGCATATAGATTCAAGTTGGCGTAATCTGGGGTCCTCGCAGGGGTCAGCATCATCTCTCCACAGGTGTTGGATCATCTGAAGTCTTTATATGAGGCTGGATCCATGCTGGAGCTGGTGTAATCTCTAGTTACCTCGAGATGGGCATCCGGGGCAGGAACAGAAAGGCAGTTGAAAATCATTAGTGTAGCTGCTAACGTTTCATGCAAAAAAAAAAAGTTTTATCTTTTGACTATTATCTGATCTAACTGGGAACAAGGGTGAGATTGAGATTCATTATGCAAATGCTTGGCTGAAGAGATGTGTCTTTAATCTAGATTTAAAAACAGAGCGAGTGTGTTTGAGCCCTGGACATTATCAGGAAGGCTATTCCAGAGTTTAGGAGCCAGATGGGAAAAGGCTCTCCCTCCTTTAGTGGACTTAGATACCCTAGGTATTACTAAAAGTCCAGAGTTTTGTGACCTTAAAGAGCGTGATGGATTATAGGGCAGAAGAAGATCAGTTAAATATACAGGAGCTAAACCATTTAGTGCCTTATAGGTCAGTAGCAATATTCTGAAATCAATACGGAACTTAAAGTCACCATGAAATAAAAATCGAAAAAATTCTTATTTTTTTATGAAATAGTGTTTATTATAAATAATTTATCCGTGCACTTCATTATTATTTTTTTAATTCATGTGCCCTCGTAATCTTTAATCAAAAACGTTAACCTCCCCTCCCCCTCAAAACAACTCATCTTCTCTTCCGGTCACAAGCTATGGTGCAAGGGCGGAGCTAGTGACGTGAGGGGTAAACGCTGGGATAAACGACAGGGGGGAAAGCTGAAGCTGATGCTTTACTTTATAGCACTGACACCAGTCATGAGGGAGTATGTTACCCCTAAACATTGAAAAGATATTAGGATATTACGACAACATTACTTTTAGGACATCGCAAACTAATTTTTTTCATGAATATGACTTAACCTGATGAGGATGCGCTCAGTCATTCAAGCAGTCCCTCTCTCTCGCGTGCGCGTTGTTTAGGCATGTTTTGTGCCGTTGATTGTTGTTGTCATCCTTAATAAATAAAACATTTATTCATGCTTGGGTGTCAGCTGTGAATCCAGTGGAGAGAAATCCCACACCACTAACTGCAAACTGCCATTCAGATCTGCCTCCATTTTGTTAGCAACGCCCCAACTTCCAACGGTCCAATCAATTCCCGAAGGACAAAATCAAGTTCCGCCCTCTCATTTCAGATGCCGTTTCACTCGCATATACGTCACAGTACAGAAGAAAAGACAATAGCAACTTCCGTTTCATGCCGACTTAAATAGGTAACGAGTGTAGTGTAGCGTCTGGACCAATCCAACACACTATATATTCTCTTTTTATATAACAAATACTCTGTAACCTCAGTTAACAAGCCATATGAGGACCCATGAACCCTTCCCCCCGGAATGCGTAACACCCCAGGAAGTCGAACAGGCCTCTTTGTTGCATGTAACTGCAAACTGCCATTCAGATCTGCCTCCATTTTGTTAGCAACGCCCCAACTTCCAACGGTCCAATCAATTCCCGAAGGACAAAATCAAGTTCCGCCCTCTCATTTCAGATGCCGTTTCACTCGCATATACGTCACAGTACAGAAGAAAAGACAATAGCAACTTCCGTTTCATGCCGACTTAAATAGGTAACGAGTGTAGTGTAGCGTCTGGACCAATCCAACACACTATATATTCTCTTTTTATATAACAAATACTCTGTAACCTCAGTTAACAAGCCATATGAGGACCCATGAACCCTTCCCCCCGGAATGCGTAACACCCCAGGAAGTCGAACAGGCCTCTTTGTTGCATGGCAACCAACGCTGATATCACTGGGTTTATTGGCCAAAAGTATGTAAAGCAGGGAAAATCCCTGCATGTCCCAAGGAAAAGCAGAGTAGAAATGGACTGTGTTCTAGTTAATTCATAGAAAAAACGTTATTTGAATGAACACACATATTCT